TTTCTAAATAAATTTCCAAGTATTTTTTACAAATTATTTCAATAAAATATTAACAATCACGCATATCATATTCCTTTCTCATTATACGCGGTAAGAAGGCTAGAATTGAAAAATTTAATTCGGAAAATTCCCTCTTTTTTGTAATTCCACGCATAGAATATAAATTTATAAGTTTGTATATTCATTTTAATTTATTTTTCACAAAATGTGAAATGGTATAAAATGGGATTAAAACTGTGCTAATTTTTAAAATGGGATTACAATATATACAATCACATATAGCCTAACCTAAAACGAATACGCAACCCAAATATCGCTCGCATTTAGATTAAAATGAATGATTTGAACTGTTTTTATATACTAAGTAGCAAAAAATTTCACCACTTGTGAGAAGCCGTTTAAAATGAAATAAATAATTTAAAAGGTTAAGCAACAAAAACGATAACATTCGGACAAATGGATTTTTAATTAAATTTCCTCCAACGTTTCGATATCACACTGATTTCCTCTTCAGGGATTCTAGTAATACAAAATTATAAAGAATTAAAAACAACATACAAAAATACACAGAAATTAAATTAATATGAGACGAAAACTATTACAAACTTCAAAAAACAAAAATACAAAAGGTAGTCAGAGTATTGAATAAATAAATAAAAATATATACATACAAAATTATACAAGAACAATTAACAAAAATATAAATCAATAAATAAAATAATAAACAAAATACAAGTTACCAAATAAAAACGATGAAAACAATTATCAGTCAGTCATTCTCACAATCGTCAAAAATCGATAAAAATGGAATCAACAAAAAAACACCCATACGATAAGGAAATAGTATCTGGAGTCAGAATTAAAATTCAATTAAATATTAAAAATGAATAAAATTGAGAATTAATTGAAGGAATAGTTTTATTCTTAGATTAGTAAATGATAAAAATAAAAATGATTAAAATATTAATAATAAATTAAAAAGTCATAAAGACAATAATTAATAATAAAAAAAAACTTACACACAAAAATAATCCATTCTTTAAGAAAAACAAAAACACAATTGTCACAAAAATAAATAAATAAATTAACAAATAATTAAATAAGACATGGCAAATTTTAAAAGTTGTGTCTCTTCTGCTTTTACTGTTACTTAATGACTATTGTAAAGAAGATATAGTATTTTGAGTTCAGTCATAATTGTACCTTCATAAATGTCACAACTTTTAAATTTTGCCATGTCTTATTTAATTATTTGTTAATTAATTAATTTATTTTTTTATTTATTTTTGTAACAGTTGTGTTTTTGTTTATAGAAAGTTGCCACTTTTTACCGAACACAGAGGCAAATTGTTTGGGTTACACACTGTTAAATCAAAAATAATGGTAACCCTCACAGCGCCGAAACTTTCCTTAAGATTTCCTAAATATTTATTTGAAATGTTCGAAATATTTTATTGCAAAGTTTAGTGAAAATTGTGTAAAGATTTAAATGTCTCGATTAAATAAATGTTCAGGAAAGTTTCGCGCTAAACATTTATTCAAGTGGGACATTTAAATCTTTACAAAATTTTCACTAAACATTCAAATTAAATATTCCAAACATTTCAAATAAATCTTTAGGAATCCCTGTAGGCAAAAAACCATGTTCGTTCTAAAAACGTTTTAAGAAGGTTTTTAGAACGTTTCATGTCCACCAAATAATGTTCTGAAACATTATTTGAACATCCATGTTCTTAAAATGTTCCAGAACATTATTTGGCAGACATGAAACGTTCTAAGAACGTCCTTAAAACGTTTTTAGAACGAACATGGTTTTTTGCCCACATGGATGTTTCGGTGTTGTGGAGGCAAATTTTAAATGTTTTACATTAACTGAAAATCTAAGATTATCAAATAATATAAATTTTAACAAATGGCTGTTAGATGTAGGAAATGGAGAATTTAATAATATTTATATATATATATATATATATATATATATGATGAAGTATAATCATGCAACAAAGTTACCAAATGAAATAATTTTTAATGAAGACATAATTACTGAAATTTATAGAAATGTTATAGATTCCAATGAAGGTGATTTACATGAAAAAGTAATAGTAGCTCCACAAAATAATGATGTATTTAAATTAAATAACGAAATTCTTGAAAGATTTGTGAAGTTAAGGAATATTCAAGTGTGGATTCATGTGGAAAAATTGAAGATATTGACACCTTAAATACAATAGTACCAAGTGAAGTTTTAAAAAGATTAACTGCAAATGAACTTTCACTTCATAAGTTGCAATTAAAAATTGGAAAAATTGTAATACTTTTAAGAAATTTTAATTTAGAATGGAGACTCTGTCAGTGTCGGTCGTTCTTGAACTTAATATGTATAATAAGGAAGATATTAGAGAAATTGAAAATCGACATAAATTTTTGATAAATGAAGTTCAAAAAAAGTTCTTAAAAAAAAAGTTAAAACAGAATTTGGTAATTAAAAATTTTTAAGAAATTAGAATTAAAAGTCATTTATACAATTTTCTATATTAATTTTCTTCCTTAAAAAAAACAAGTGCGAATAGACGATATTTAAAGTTGAAAGCTTCTTGTTAGATTCGTAAGTTTATCGTGTCATTTGAACTAACTTTATTCCACTATTTGTGAAAAGGGTGAGTACGAAAATAAATTGTTAAAATGTCGGCGAACTGGACTAATTAAATATAACAACCAGTGTTTTTTCAGCGCTCGCTTCAGAAGTGTAAACTTCGTCACTATAAACCCGGGGGTTTTTGCAAGGACGAGGGTTATGATGAGTATATACCGCGGATGCAATGTTCAAAGGAAGAAATAGGCAAAGTGAGAAGAAATTACTAACACAAGCAAACAAAATTTGAAATGGTAAATGAGACCGAGCTGAGTGCCATTGCAAATTAAATTACTCTGCAACTGACACTAAACACACCACTTTCTATCCTATCTTTCCAATCATTTTCTTGCTCGCAAAGTTTCTCCTGTCTTTTACGTTCTATTTCTTAATAAAAGTAAAAACATTTTAGATAACTTCAATTAATTGCTATTTGAAGTACTTTAATTAGTTTGTTCAAGTCTTAATAGACGTTTTTATTTTTGGATTTGCTTATTTTTTTTTAAATTGTTTAACATAAATGCGGTATTATATTTTATATAATAATTAAACATAATAAATTTTGTTTTTATTTCATATAAAAATATATCCAAGCAACGTATAGTATTTATAATACGACAAAGCGCTGAATTGAAAATTTAATTATATTAATTAATTTTAATTAAATTTTTGATTCAGCGCTTGGTCATAATACAAATTCTACGTTGCTTGGTACCGTTTATTTTTATATGAAAGTACTGAACTATTTTCTTACTGGTGAAGCAGTAAGCTTTGTTTTAAGTTGTTTATTTAAATAAATTTGATTGTCAATCTTGAGAGCGAACGATTTCGACCAAAATTGGATATCTCAAAAAGTTCTTTACCGATTTTGTTCAAACCTTTTTTGCCCATAAAAAATGTAAAAAAAAATAATTTTTGTGGTGAAAATGGGAGAATTCCCAACGTATTATGAAAATTAGACTTTAAAACTGAAAAATTGATGATTTTTTGATTTTTAGCCGCACGTCTGAAGCCTATACAGTTTAACGGATTCACTTGAAACTTACAAATAATATTAATTAGGTTATAATATCGATATATATTTCAGAGAATTTCAATACACTCAAAAAATTTTTAAATTTTCAATTTTTTATGAACAAAAATTTTTTGATTGATTTTTAGCTTGATCTGGAGTTCATAATTCTTGATCGATTCGTATGAAACTTACCAATAATTATATATATATAATAATAAATTTTTGAAATTTTCAATTTTTTACGGTCAAAAATTGATTTTTTTTATAATTAGACACACCTGGGGGTCAATTACGTAACTTTTTTCGGATCCCACTTTCAAAATTCCATATTTCAGATTCCACATTCCGAAGTTCACTTTCAAAATTCTGGATTCCACATTTCACATTCCGTATTTTGGATCCTACATTCCGGATTCCACATTCTATTATCCTATATTCCGGATTCTACTTTTTTACATTCCGTATTCCGAATTTAACATTTCAGATTCCACTTTCAAAATTTCGGATTCCACAACCCACATTCTGAAAGTGGATTCCCGAATACGGAATGTGGAGTATAATATTCGGAATACGGAATTTTTAAAGTGGAATCCAGAATGCGGAATACGGAATGTGTAAAGTTGGATCCGGGATGTGGAAATTGGAATATGGATTCCAAAATGTAGAATGCGAAATGTGAAAAGTGGAATACGGAATGTGGGATCCGGAATACGGAATTTTGAAAGTGGAATTAATGTAGGATTAATAGAGTTAATAATTATCCAAATAATTAATTGAAATAAATTTTTTTATTATGAAAAATTTCTATCGTAGGTGCAGTTATGAAAACTTGGTGTAAATTATTTTTATACCTATTCTACTGCAAGTGGATTAACGAAAAATTAACGAAGGATATAAATATTAAAAAATAAAAATTATTATTAAATAAAAATAATTTACACCAAGTTTTCATAACTGCACCTACGATAGAAATTTTTCTTAATCAAAAAATTTATTTCAATTAATTATTTGAATAATTATTAACTTTATTTCATATATATATAGACCAAAACTATTCTTTTTTTCTACATTTCACGCATATTTTAAAATTATAATTTGTATAATTTCCCATTTTTAAATTTAATTATTTATATTAAAAAAATTAATTAAAACTTAACATAATCCTAAAAGCTAACTTTCATTTCACGAATTGTTTCAATGGTTAAGATAATTTTTGCTTGGCGTAACTTTTTTGCATTGAAGATGTTTTTGTTGGTTTTTGTTTTCAGTCCTTAGTTATAAATATATATACATTTTTTCCTAATTGTGATGTGAAAAAATTTTTTGTAAATAACTAAAAAAAAAAATACTTACTGAACATAAGAATATCCATTGTAGAGAAATATAATAATGAGAGAAATAAGGGCAAAGATGAGTCCACCAAATATAGGTCCGAGGACGCTAGCAAGTCGATTTACATTTACAGGTCCACCAGAATTTTCCGTGTATAATATTTGAACACCCTCTTCTGAATTTGTAAAAAAAAAAAGAATTTTTTTTATTATTTTTAATTAGTGATGCACAAGACGATAGGGAAATTATAATTACGAGAAAAATTATCGTCCTTTTTGACACTATTATCGTTCGGATCGTTAAAAGGTTCGACTATCTGTCGATCAATGTTTTTTTTTTTAAATAAATTCAAGTTTCCGATGAAACAAATATCATTTGTTAATTCCTGTTGGTTAATTTTGCAACATAATTGTGGTAGATTTGTGTAAACTGCATTAAATTAATATGAATTTTTCATTACGATGAATAATTAATTATCAATGAACTGAATTTATTATTAATATTTGAAAATGTATAACGAAATACAATAAATTATTATGTATATGTTAATGAATGAGAATTTTTAAAATTTTTAAATTACTGTATTTAACTTTTAATTCAAATAAATAATTTTGTATTTAGATTGTCCATTACATTCTATTATTTTCCAAAATAACTAAAATTTGATTTATTCCCTTAATTAAACATGAAATTATAAAATATTTACTTAAATTATAAATTTTGATTATAGTGTAAATTATTTTTACTGCTTTTAAAAGGAATTTTTTCTTGTATATATATATATATTCTTCAATTTAAATTCATATTGTTATAGTACCTATCAAATAGTGTTTCAAAGTTCTTAAGGCTTCTAGGCTGCTTACTCCAGTATATTGGCCTTTTTCTGCTATAAGAATTTCTAAACCACCTTCCCACGTCGTTCTCATGTACCAGGAAATTGAAGCGTGATATGATTTCAGTGCTTCATTTGTAAGTCGACTGAGTAGGCGGGTATAAACAATACTCGAAAATGATAAACGTGCGCCACAATAATGACAACAATGCCCTTCCACCTTTTTAAAGAATAAATATTAATTGTTTAAAAATTTAAATACTGACATTATTTTTCGGTGTTCAAATTTTTTTGAACACACTACTTTAAAAGTATATCAAATTGATATCAAAAATATCAAATTGATATTTGACATGAAAATGTTTAAATGTCTACTGCAGAAATATCATTGTTTCAAACTATGTTTGTTCAATTCGTTGATAGATAATTTGACAATTCTGTAAGCAATAAAATTTCGAAATATTAGATTCATAAATATCCTGACAACTTTTTGTATAAGATTCCAAGATCGACTTTGGTTATTTGATACAAAAGGATTTGTAAGCGAATATATATAAAATTTTTGTTATATATTTATGTGTCTCCAACAATATTCATTCGTTTCTTAAAAAAACATTTTATAAATTATTAAAATACCCAAATTTTTTTATTCAACTACTTTTATACATTTTTGCATAGAATTTGGTTGCACTAATCCGATCCCAGGCTAATCCGGCACCTCTTGAAATCCGACAACGACCGTGTTAAGAGGGAGGCGGAGGTAGAAGAAAAGCTTCAATTAATTGTACACCAAGAGTCTGTTCACTCTCGAGTAAAGTCGTTAAACTTGCTAGTATTTATTTATACTTGAATTCTAATCTAATGCTTTGTTTTGATTTAATGAGAAAAGTTTTGTGAATGTAAATTATTTTGACTATATATGAAAAATAAATTATCATATAAAAATTAAATAACATTGTTGGTACTCTTTCATTTAAAAAAAATAGTATTTCAGTTCGTCTTGATTGTTTTTGTGAATCTACCGAATAAATCATTTAATGTATAGAAAGAGATTTAGTAGTTTAATAAGAAATATATATGTATATGCAACCTATGTTATACCTAAGTATATGTGTTTCATCATGCTCTGCATATTCATTAAAGTTTACCTACACCAAGAAACTTTCTGTGCGAATATATGTAATAAGTGTATAACAAAGTTTATGACTCTAGCGTTTCATATTAGGCAAATTCTTGACTTTAGGTTATTAAATAATCTTCATATGAAATGTATGTAGCTATTCTAACATTCAAATAACAAATAAAATTGGTACAATATTTTTAAAAAATTAACTAATTTATAGAATGGAACTTGAAAAATGGTCAGATTCAGTAATATGTAAAGAAATGTTAAATTTGTTTTTTAACATAGTTACAATTTCTTCTAACTCTTATATGTTAGATGGAAGCGCTATTTTCTACACTATTTCGGAAATTCAATTCAATTGCTTTCATAACTGCTAATCGTAAAGACGCATAATTAAATTACTACAGTGATTGTCTTTTCTTTTGGATTAACTGAAAATCCACTGTAAGTTTAGTTAATAATTTCTATTCATTATAGTTTCATTTCCAAAATTTTTATCTAGGGAGTCAGGTAAAATTTCAAAAACTACAGTCAATGGTAATCAATTCTTTTAAGGAATTGAATACGTAAGAACTAAATTTTGCAAATATTTTAACGTAAACCAACCTTTAAAGCGTTTTCACAGTTTGGATTTCCACATCTTGGTCTTTGTATATCACAAACTTCTTCGAAATAATCAATTTGTTTTCCCTCTTGGCATAAGCAACGTTCACATCCAATTGAGTTACTGAAACTGATAAGAAATAATTCACAAGTAAAGAAAACTATAAAATTTTATTATCATATGCACAGTAAGCCAGAATGCATCCAAAAGTGGCCAAAAGTCGACATTAGAATTTAGAATTTTAAATCTAATAATCTAAATCTATAGTATTTTATGTAACTTTTTGTAAAATATTATAGTTATTTGTTAAATATTATTGCGGTGATCGTATGTTTGTTAGAAAATTTAAAGGAAACTGTCCTCTTAAATAATCATTAATTTTTTTTAAAATTATTATTTTTCTGACTTTTAAATTTTATTTCTTTTAAATGACATGTATTATGTTGAAAAATAATAATATTAAATTAAAATTACTCTATATTGTAAAAAATAAAACACATTTAACATCGAAAAATGTTAATTTTTTTGAAATGCATTTGCTATTGTTTGTTAGTTCTCCTTACTTCCGCAAAATATAAAGGTCGCCCTAAATGTAGAATCTCTTCTTAATTAAATGTACTTTCAATTATAAAGTTGCCCATTTTTTAATTTGGTGGAGTTATATACAAAATAAGGTGAAAATTTTTTCCTTGAAAATCATTTTTTACAAAGACATATTTTGGTTCACGTATATACATCGATACTCATTGGTTTTATAATTATCCTTCTTTTGTTTTTATTTCTCCCCGCACATATAGAAACCTCACATTTTATTGTACATTCTCTATTTTAAACAATTAATAAAAGTGTTACAGAAGCACATTTTGAATTATATGAAAATTATCTAATTTTTAATTTTTTTTAGTTATTTTTTTAGATTTCCCGCGTACACCTTTTATAAAGGCTTTTACGCATTCTATTCCTCACGTTTAAAATTTTTTAATTTTGTTATTTATAATTTAAAGAAGGGGGGGGACTTACATAATAAAACACCACGAGGGGTCTAAAATCGTACTACTACCTCCTCATGGTAGACCCTGGAAACTACAGATTATGTAGGCAAACCGCAGACGTTTTAATTATAAATAAAACGCGTTTCATGATTATCTAACAATTTTTTTAAAAAATCATCAACCATATTAGGTTTGAAATTTTAAATTTCGTAAATCTGACCTTAGATACGTAATCAGCGACCCCGAAAACCCCTAGACATCGAGTTTCATAATTATTTAAAAGGTTTTTTCAAATTTCATCCGCCATATTGGTTCTGCCATTTTGAATTTCGTGTATCTGACCTCAGATTCGTTATCAGCGACCTCGAAAACCCCTAAATACCAAGTTTCATATAAATTTGTTGAAATCTTGAATTATGTCCGCTTGTGGATGCTTTCTGGCCCACTGTGATATGTAAAGAAAGTCCAGACTGTATTGGGATCAGAAATCACGCGATACTGACCCACCCCTGAGCCTTCTTGTGACAACCATCTTCGTTTTTTATCTCTTTCTTTTGTATATGTTAGAGAAACACGGAATGAAAACATGGCCACCACAACAAGGCTCTCACCAGATGGCGTATAGGTTTGCTTTTCTCCCATCTACTCAGCCTTTCTCCTACGCACCCTCAGTTTTCTTGTGTGTATCAAATTGATACAAGAATTAAGATCAACTAATGCAACATTTTGATTCGATATAAGGTATCAAATTGATCGAAATATTTGGATCATTTTCAAGAAATGATCCACAATATAGGATCATTTTTTGATACCTGAATGGGTATCAAAGTATAACTATGTCATGGCTGGCATGCTCTTATTGACAAGTTTATTAATTAATTTATTCACTGCACTGAATATTCAGATATTGAAAATACTTTTATTATGAATTTTAAGAAAGAGAGAAGCGAAAACTTATAAATTACGAGCAATTAATTAAGAAAAAACTGTATTTCGAAATAAAATGAAATACACTAACCTTTATTTATGTTTATCACATAAGATTTAAGTTAAGTTCACAATCACAATACTTGAAAATTTTTAATTATTTTTATGGTTCAAATAATTATCAATAATTTATTTATTATAAATGAACAAAATTTAAGCAATGCACGCTTGATAAATATTTCTAATGCGTTGTCAATTAATGCAATTAATAATTTCCTATTACACAATATCATAATCGACATATATGACATTTGTAAACAAACAGGGTTGGGAAACAAGAGCCCAAAATATGTTCGTCCAAAGCAGAGTTGGGTAGGATTGAAATTCGCATTGGACGAATATATTTTGGGCTCTTGTTTCCCAACCCTGTTTGTTTAGAAATGTCATATATGTCGATTATGATATTGGGTAATAGGAAATTATTAATTGCATTAATTGACAACGCATTAGAAATATTTATCAAGCGTGCATTACTTAAATTTTGTTCATTTATAATAAATAAATTATTGATAATTATTTGAACCATAAAAATAATTAAAAATTTTCAAGTGTTGTGATTGTGAACTTAACTTAAATCTTATGTGATAAACATAAATAAAGGTTAGTGTATTTCATTTTATTTCGAAATAAATTTTTTCTCATTTAATTGCTCACAATTTATAAGTTTTCGCTTCTCTCTTTCTTAAAATTCATAATAAAAGTATTTTTAATATCTGAATATTCAGTGCAGTGAATAAATTAATTAATAAACTTGTCAATAAGAGCATGCCAGCCATGACAGTTATACTTTGATACCAATTCAGGTATCAGAAAATGATCCCATATTCTGAATCATTTCTTGAAAATGATTCAAATATTTGGATCAATTTGATACCTTATATCGAATCAAAACGTTGCATTCCAAAATGATACCATCAAGTTTAAAGTGGCCCTAAAGGACGGTACTTTTCGTAATTGTTTGATTCTATAAACCAATTAGAATTTTCTAACTCATCAAATAATTTATTTATTGAAAATAAATCCAACAATCTCATAGACCAATTACAGGATTATCATAATACAAATAGTAAATTAATTATAATAATCGATCATCTGCTCTAATAAAGGTAAAAGAAAATTAAAAAAAAACACATTTACTTATAACTAAGACATCATATCTTTGAAAAAAAAAGAAATGCACCTAATTTTAGAATGTAAAATAAAAGACTTACCGAACAGTTTTTTTCTTATTTGAAAATTCTCTATCGTTTAAATGATAATTCCATTCAGATAATGAAATTTCTTTGCTGTTTAATAGAACGCCTTTGACTTTAACTGTTTGCATAGGTAAATGAATATTAAAAACTCGATTTTCAGATGGTAAAACAATCATATCCATTTGACAAGGAACTCTCTCTAAATGTGGTACTGCTTCAGATGTTGAATTCCAATTTTGTGGATCAGCCCAAAAAAATGGTCCTTCTTTAGACCATGTTCCAATTTTTTCATTTTTTCCCACCTTATCAACTATCTGAATTTAATTAAAAAACAAAATTTTATATGTTTGAGAAAAGTTTTTATTGGAAAAGTAATTGTAGAGTAAAAAAATCGTTAGGAAAGTTATTTTGAGAAAAGTGTCCCCCTATACCATTTGCTGCCTAACCTGTAATTGGAAATATTTAATTTGAGAAAAATTTAATTAATTTCTTGACTTTTTCTTGACAGAAGAGTAAGAATTTTTGAAAAGTGCCACCTAAAACTGAAAAAATTTATTTTTTGTTGAAATATTATTTTTCTTATAGTATTTTATATGCAAAATCACCATCTAAAACGATTTTGAAAAAAAAAATTTATTGTTAACAATTTAATATTTCTGACTTTCTTTAAAAAAATTAATTTTAAAGAAATTTATCGATCGATTTAAATGATTGAAACGACATTCTACTTGTCTTCAATCATAGTTTTAATGATATTTTTTTGTGCAAAAATATTGATAAAATTGTTTATTTATAAACAAATAGTAAAAAATCATGAACAATGAGGAGAAATTAATTTGTGAATAAAGATCTACACTTGTGTTGAATTATCCTGAATTATCTTGAATTACATGAATTATCTGAAGTAATATGAATTATCATAAATTACCTTGTATTATCTGAAGTAACGTGAATTATCATGAATTATCTTGAATTAATTTGAATTATCTCGAATTACTATAAATTATTTTAAATTAATTTAAAGTATATGAATTATCTTAAATTATCTGAAGTATCGTGAATTATCATTAATTATCATGAATTACTTTGAATTATTTTAAATTACTATGAATTATCTCGAATTAACTTGAAATATATGAATTATTCTAAATTATCTGAATTTTTATTGATCATTGAATTATTTTGAATTACGTTGAACTAACTTGATGTATATGAATTATCCTGAATTATCTGAAGTAACGTGAATTATCATGAATTACCTTGAATTACTCTGAATTGTTTTGAATTATCTTGAATTACTATGCATTATTTTGAATTAATTTAAAGTATATGAATTATCCTGAATTATCTGAAGTATCGTGAATTATCATGAATTACTTATTGAATTACTTTAAATTATCTCGAATTAACTTGAAGTATATGAATTATTCTGAATTATTTGATTTTGTAATGAATTACCTAAAATTACTTTTAATTATCTTGAATTAACTTGAATTATATGAATTATCCTTAATTATTTGAAGTACCGGGAATTATCATGAATTAACTTGAATTACTTAGAATTATTTTGAATTATAACTTGAAATATATAAATTATCTTGAATCATCTGAATTATAATGAATTACCTTGAATTATCTCGAATTATATGAATTATCTGGAATTAACTTGAAGTATATGAATTATCTGAAGTATCGTAAATTTTCATGGATTATCATTAATTGAATTTTTATTGATCATTGAATTATTTTGAATTACGTTGAATTAACTTGAAGTATATGAATTATGCAGAATTATCTGAAGTATCATGAATTACTTTAAATTATCTCGAATTAACTTGAAGTATATGAATTATCCTGAATTATCATGAATTACTTTGAATTAATTTGAAGTATATATGAAATTATGAATTATTAATATTAATCGATTTCCATAAACAAAATAGCACTAAACATTTCGTTGAAATGTTCATTCGACTTTCCGCTCCTAACATTTAACGATTATGTAATTTACATGTTCAGTCAACTTTCGCTCTAAACATTTAGTTATGGCATTTAATATTCAAACAATCTTTTCTGAATTGTGCGATTCAATATTCCTAAGTTAACGTTTAAATCTTCAATGAATCTTCAGTGTTGTGTGGGAAGAGATCGGAATAGAAAATGGGAAACGTGGGGGAAGTTTGAATTCTTTTCATTCAATCTACAAGGGTTGTAACGGCGGCGGTGATTGATTCATCAAGTGGTAAATGGTAGTTTTTAAATAAAGAAATCTCCCTATCCCTACGTCGGTCCGTTTTGCAGTGGTCTTAGCGGAATCTCCCCGGAAATATCTGATTTTATTTTAATATTCTTCATGGAATAAGTTTTGTTTGTAGTAGATCACGCAGATATAGTTTTATCGTTGATTTCAGGATACACTGCGCAGGAAGCATTAATAATCGCTAGTTCGAAATCTGAATCAATTCTCTGGGGATTGCAATAGTGGATTCCGTACGATGAAGCCAAAGAAGTAATGTATGTTGGATACAGCATTGTATTGATAACTTTCTTTGGAAGATAGGAGAGCATACACGAAAGGGAAGACAATGACGCTGGGTTCATTTCCTCAATCGTTGATCTTTACATACTTGCCGATAACGGTGATCAGCACCGTAAAAAATGAAGGCAAAACCTTAACCTTAAACCTTAATACATATATATAATATATTATCTTCTCAACAATCATAACAGAAAAAGGATTGGTTTGCTAATGTGTTTTTTTTTTGTAACAGTCAGACAGTTAATTGATATTAAAATACTTCGAATTTCCATTTTTAACAACACAGATATAATTTAGAAAAAAAATCCGAAGAATAATAAAATAATAAAACTAGGGAAATTTTGAAGTTTGATAAATAAATGATTGAATTGTTTTTTTTTAAGTACGTACAGGCATTTTTACTTACTTTAATTTTGATATTAGAAGTAATTTAAATTTTTACAGGCAAAAGTGTAATCGGCCGTTCGAATTGAGGCAGTTCTTTTCGGGCGAATAAGCGTATTAATTAATCAATGGCTCTCTCATTACTACGGCTTCGCCAGAACTCATATATGTGGTGTCAATTTAAATTATTACATTCTCATTATAATGAGAAGGTATTACAATTTGGGCGATTTTTTTTTTTTAAACTTCTACCTCAATTTAGTTTTTGTCTAGAATGTCTTAAAAATTAACTTCCTTTAAATTCTTGTAACAGAACCTACACAACATTGAAAATTAAACATTAACTTGGGAATATTGAATCGCAAAGTTCAGAAAATATTGTTTTACTCGAATGTAAAGGTATATTACTAGAGTAGTTTTTTGTCCCAAAAAAATTTTCAATTAAGATAAAAAGTAATTATTTACGTATAAATATAATTCTCGTCAAAATCGATTATCAGATATCAACAGCGAATTTTCTACTTTTTTCCCTCCTTTTTCCGTATTTTCTTCTTGTATATAAAAATAAAATTCTAATTAATTATACACAATGAAATAAAAAAAAATATATATATTAACAATAAAATACAAGAACATAAAAAAAAAAATTTATATCTATTTAGATGAAAAAAAAGAGATTTACCTGAAGTTTACCATTTTTTGGCAAAATTAAAGCACCATCTGCAGGTAAATTTATTGTCGACATTCGTAAATCACCCTCAGGCGGTAGTCCAGCGACATGTCTCATTTCCAAGGGGAAAATAATATGACTATCCCAATCGGGAATACGTCCCTCTATCCAATTATTTTCACTATTCCATTCTTGATTTGGTAACCAATGTTTATTTAATCCCAACGAAAAGTTATTCAAACTCATATAGAAAATAATTAAAAAAAAATTCATTTTATTAAAAAGAAATGTCAATTCGTGAGGGGGGATTTGAAAAAAGTTTCAAATTAAATTAATATATCAGTTATTATGTTGTAAAAAAAAAAGAATCACGATTTACTTTTATTAGAAAATAATTGGTTAAACTCAAACACACACACAATCAGTTATATAAATCAATTTTCACTATCCAGTTTATTGAAGTAAAGGAAAATTCAATTAAGTCCAATCACTACGCCTGTGGTTCATTATATTAGAAAAAATGACAAAATTCAACGAGAGATACATTTAATCCGGATTTAAGGGGGGCGTTTCACCGCTTATTGTGGTGGGAGTAATGCGGTATGTGTTTATAGAGATTATGTGCATTTAAGGAATTAAGGTGATACTACGCAATGTAGACTTAAACTACTTCATATTAATTAAATTTTCTCTCTATGGGCTTTTGATTATAATAAAAAAATTCATTAAATCTTTCAAAAAAAATAAGTGTAAATGATTATTTCTTTTTTTTTTTACTATTATTTAATTTAGCTGTTATTTTTTGTATTTAAAATAAATTATTAAGGAGGATTGAGGAAAAATGTTTTTTTTTTGTTCTTTTAATGCAAAGAAAAATTTAATAAAAATTAGGTCGAGCCAGGGTTCGACTTTGATCTCAAACCTAGATTCAGATTGTTAATATGTATATCCATTTTATATACACTTTCAGGGGAAAAAATATATTGAATTAAAATCTATTGTTGAATATATAATTAAAAAATTATTTAATAATCCGGTAAAAAGGCTGAAATAGAATGGAATTAAAATTATCAGATATTTTCTAAAGTTTAAAATTTTTCTATTCCATTTAATCTGGAATATTCCCTCTTTTTTTTTAATCCCCTAAAATATAAAAGAATATTGGAAAAATTTATTCTTTTTTATACCAAATTCCAATTGAATATATTTCACAAAGTTTTAATTACAAAAAGTTTTGTTAAATCATGTTTGAACTATAGTAAAACTTTTTAATCCTCAAACGGGAATAGAAACTGAATAAATTTGAAAAATAATTTATTTCATTTTAAACGGCTTCTCACAAGTGGTGAAACTTTCTGCTACTTAGTATATAAGAACAGTTCAAATCATTCATTTTAATGTAAATGCGAGCAATATTTGTGTTGCGTATTTGTTTTAGGTTAAGTTATATGTGTTTGTATATATTGTAATATGTATAACTGTATTATGTATTTTAAGATTTTAAGAAACTAATTTTTAAAAAATAAAAATCAATTACCGACACAGAAATCTACATTACCGACAGATGATAAAACAGGAAAATAATAATCAGTCGATAATGTAGATTTCTGTGACGGTAATCGATTTTTGTTTAAAAAAATGAGTTTTAACCTTGTATTAAAAAAAATATTATATTGAAAGTATTTTTTTTAACATTTGTGGTCCCCCATGTTTAATATTTAAAAAGTGGCATACGGCATCAAAAAAAAAATAAAACCATTTCACATTTTGTGAAAAATGAATTAAAAGGAATACAAATTTATAAATTTCTATTCTATGCGTGGAATTAAAAAAAAAAAGAGGGAATTTTCCGAATTAAATTTTTCAATTCCAGCCATTTTTACTGGAAAATAAAATTTTGTACTGTTTATAATTTTTTAACAACATACTTTTAACCATGAAGTAATAACAAAGAGTCAGAATTCTGTAAGTATAAAAGGCGTATCAGTTTTCTAATTAAAAAACTATACTTGGGAATAATTTTTCTGAATTTAAAAACAAAATTTTGAAAAAATCTTTACGAGAAATATGAGATAAAATGAAAATAATTTTTTTTATATCGAGATATATATCACACCCTCTTTTCATTAAAAAAACGTTATTTTTCCTTCAAACGATCATTGAAATTTAAAACCACTTTTTATTAAATTTCATTGTAACTTTAGATAATATCAAAGTATTAAAATTATATATATACTGCATAATAGAAACTATATATATATATAATGGAAATAAAGAGAAATTCCAATATGGAAATAATGAAACACATTGATATAAAGAAAATACATTTATTTTAACATGAAGATTTTTTAAGAAAAAACAAATATACTTATTAAATAATTAAATGTACATTTTTATAAACTTATATACTTAAAATAAGAATTTCTAATTAGAAAATTTCCTAATAACATTATTGGTGAAGGTTTTTTTTTTTTTTTATTAATATACAATAATTGAAAAAAGTTTTTTTTTCATTCGCCTTATTGAACAATATATATATATATATATATATATATTAATGCACTTATATTTTTTGAACAGATATGTAGCTTTCGAAAATCGAAGTTGATAAAATTTTGTTTTTCGCTAAAAACATGCAGGGTCGTTTAAAATTATGGTTTTCCTACTTTTGAAATTGGAAAAATGTTTTTTTATTTATAACAAATTATAAATATTTAACAAATATGGTAATTTAAAAAAATATTTAAATAAATATAAATATACTTTGAATATCTAAATTTTAATGAAATTGATTTAATTGCGATTAAACAAATATATTAATTTCTACAAATATTTGTTTAAAAAAATATAAAATAATAGTTTCGAATTTTTCTATAATAATATACTGATTATTATTTTTTTTGTATTTTATGAAATATTTTATTTTATTTTTTGAAAATTTATTATTTAGAATAATAAAATTATTTATTCAGAATATTCTGAAAAAATTATTTTACTATTATTAGGATATATTTGAAGATAATTATTTACAGCTGAAAACTAAATTTGACAAAGAGGAGAAAATTATTTAATCATAGAATTGGATTCAAGAACTGACCTCATTACCTTAGAGATTCACATTATTTAAATTGCTTTTAGCCTCAAGCGTATGCATATACATAAAAACTTTTTTTTTTTTTTTAATATAAACAATTATTTCTTTTTGTCATAAAAAGAATTATTATTGCACAAAATTCATCTTTGACGTTTAAATTGTACAAAATTTTGAAATTAAAATAATACAATTTCCTCCTTTGTAATAATAATAATTACAATTTATTGTTAATGTTTTGTTTTTAGGATTAATATGGGGAATCACAATACCAACGGTCATCGGACAATTATTTTTTTCGACAAATATAAATAATTATCATTTTCTTAAAAAGAAAGTTTTTACTTTTTTTTTTGGATAATAAATTTTAATTAAATAAAATAATAAATAAATTTAATAATAAATTCTAGTATATAAATAATTTTATTTGACTGAATAAAAAAAAATATTTTTTAATTTATTTAATACTAATGCAATTAAAAATTAATTTTTTTTCTCTAAAAATTGAAAGAAATAAATGACATTTAAATTGTATATTAAAATTTTTGAGTTCTAATATTCATCCAACATTATTTTATAAATATTAAAGAAATATTTTCATTCTAATTACATATGTATTTGACTATATAAATGCAACTATGTTCAAATGCAGGAAGCAACATGTGTTCAAATAGTTTAGCATTTATGATCTTTAATTAAAACTGTTATATTTTAGTACCAAATATGTAGTATTTGTGGTAAATTGCATATAAAGTGAAATTTAAAATAAGTTAGAATATTTCATTATTTAAAAAAAAAATTAATATAAAATCGTACAAAAAACAAAATATATAAATATAACGTCAACAAAGGTAATTATTGATTTTAATTATCAAGGGTTGCAACATAACCTCAAAAATGTAACTTAATGCAAATGCCCAACTGTCGATAAAAAATTTATTTCACTTGTTCCACTATTTTCCTACAATTTCAGCTTGTTAATATTATTGAAATTATAAAACATTTTACCTGGAAGAATATAGAAATTTTTTTAATAAAACAAATTTTTTTATAATTTTAATAATAAATTAACAAATTGAATTTTTCAGGAACACGTGAAATAAATTTTTTTATCAACAGTTGGCAATGGATGCTCAACTCAACTCATCTTCATTAGCCACACTGATCTCTATATACCTTTAGATGGGAGGAACATAGCGTCCATCTTGGATTGTAGTATAAGTAAAAATTGTGGCGCTGAAGTAAGGTGGGAGGAAGTGAAATAACTTTTCATAAGTAAGAATCGATATTTTTTAAAATAAAAATAATTTTCTTAATAATTAATTTAAGTGAATAAAAATTAGAAAAAAAAATTTATGTTTAATTTTTTAATGTAATCAAATATAATATTTCATTTTAGGTTTTCATCGTATAACAAAAATTGTTAAGCTTATAGTAATTTGGTAAAATGTTGCAACTGTAAAATTATTTACATTTTTATGTAATTATACATATTTAATTAATTCATATTTGTTGCAAAACAATATTTAAATGATAAAATAAATAATTTTTAGAACCTTCAGCCATAATTACCTCGGTTGACGATAAGTATTGGAATATGTTTTTTTTTTGCAGTTTTTTTTTCTTCTAAAAGAAAGAAAAATATGTGTCTGAAATTTAGAACTCTTATAAAAAAAAATTTACAGTTACCTATAACACTTGAGTGATTTCACGAGATAATTTTAATAATAACACTCAAAGATTAACAGATTGCTTAATTTTTTCAGCGAATAAGAATTATCCTGTAATATTTTTTATTGTAGCGTTTCATATATATATACGTAGTTTAATTTACATATGTATTATTTTTAATTTTATTTTTATGACATTGATATGACGATAATGTGCATTGTTTTATCTCTAATAAATAAAAGGAGAAACAATTATTAATCAAATATGTAATATCCCACTTGGAAAGATTCCCCGGAAAGTGACGCCTGGAGGTTCTATCAAAATTCCGCCGGAACTTCCAACGTAATTCCATCGGAGTTCCAAAGAATTTCCGATGGGATTCCGACGGAATTCCGATTAATTTTTTTCACCATTTTTAGAGTCCTAATTCCGTCGGAATCTCATCGGAAATTATTTGGAATTCCGACGGAATTACGTTGGAAGTTTCGGCGGAATTCTGATAGAACCTCCATGGGGCACTTTCCGGGGAATCTTTCCAAGTGGGATGTCAAATATTCGTAAATTGTAATAAATTAATTCAAATTTAAAATTATTTAATTCTAATTAAAAATTAATTATTTAATTAATTTATCGTTAAATAAATAAATTATATCAAAAGAGAATAAATAAAATTTGTTCAGTTATGTCAGTGTAGTATCAGAGAATAGATTTTACTCTACCAAATATGTTCAGTATATCTACACATATATCTAAATAAGGCGTTTGTAATTTTTCCACTAAAGTCAAAAAAAAAAATATATATATATAATTTCAAATGAAATACTTTCAGTTTAATCAGGCTTTCGTATATTAAGAAAATCCTAACTAAGGGGATTTAAAAAATTTCGAAACATATAACATATAAATAATTTAAATAGAATTCTTGATAATACTGTTTTTTTTAGAATATTACAAAAGATTTAAAAATTAATATGTTTTGAGATTATAAATTTAATTTTTTTGAATTTAAGGATTTTGCGAAAGAGCATCTTCCTTATTCATCCTTCTCATTAAATCGTAAACTTCATATAAATTAAGATCATGTGTATTATTTTTTTCTTTTTTTAAATTGTTGACCAACGATTGGGGAATAGACGATATTGAATCACTTGATCTTTTTCCAACTCCAAATGAAAATCGTTGTGGACTGCGTTTATATTGTGATTGGCCATCTTCAAAATCGTTGAGATTTGGATCATAGGATGCATCAGATAAATAGTCATAGGATTGATCATCAAAATTAAATCTTTTACCAACACCAAATCCATAGTTTTTGCTTCGTCTACCCACACCAAATTCATATGGACGTGATCTCTGTTTAATGCAAAAAATGAAACACAAAAGCAAACAATTAATTAATTTAGTATTTTTTATTGACTTTTGCTTTCTGGAAGTTAATTCAAGCTTTGTTAATTATACCTTGATCTACAGTAAAGGAAATATTAATGGTATTTTTTCCGATTTTCCCATTTCTGTCCGAATTTGGAGAATTATATTTTTCAAATTAAATGTACCTCATTTTTAAAAGATAACCATTGCTTGCCATTACGGAACACCGTTAAACAAAGAAAATTGTATTTGCTGTTTGATCCTTCGTAGACTTTAGTCTCAATTCTGTTTCGCTCCTTCACGTCAAAACTTTTTCCTAACCTCAAAAAACATGGCGGATTTTATGTAACAGACAAAATTTTATAAATATTGACGGATTTTGCTATCTACAGGATTTTAGGGGCGCTAATTACTAACTCTAAGTCAGATTTTCAAAATCTAAAATGGCAATGGATTTTTTAAAACTCCAATCGTCATTTTTGATCTGCAATGTTGGATTTTAATAATCTTACTTCAAATTCGTAATCAGCGACCCCAAAAAGTCCAGTTTTATCAAAATCTAATCGCATCTGCCATTTAGGAGTTTTTAAATTTGATTTCAATTTCATAATCAACGACTCTAAAAACCCCCTAGATAGTAATTTAAACTAAATCCAACAATATTTATAAAGTTTTGTTTAGTCACACTTTAAGTATGTATTCAGCAGACCTAAAATTACTCTTTGGTAATGTTTTAAAATAATATAATAAATAAATAAAACTTAATCTAAAATTAGTTAAGAATAATCCGAAATTTATTCATGTAAACAATCCGGATTTATTCTGCTCAAAAAAACTTAATTTGAAATCTAATTATAAACGGGACTGTTTCGTATTAATTTCAAATTAGTTCAGAATCAGTACGGATTTTGATACAGGGAAGGAACTAAGCCTTTCTAAAATAGATAATTGACAAATTTTGATCTATATTTAGATCCGAATCATTGACAACGTACTCTAATTCAGGTGAATAATTGGCTTGGCCTCGATTAGCAACAAAAATAAAAACGTAATTTTCAGTCAGTATACCTTTGCCTTTCGGCTTACGAACGGAATGCCTCCTATAGACAGATATCCACGTTCAACAATTATTCTCACCCACACAGCACAACATCTTACACCAGGCCTACAGCAGGCTTACATGTAAGGTTTGTAAGGTAACATCGTAAGCCCATAGTAGACTTACAGTAAACCTAAAATGTCCGCCTTACAGTAAGCTTACATGGTAGGGTCGAGGTAAGCTTACACGGTAAGGTCGAGGTAAGCTTACACGGTAAGGTCGAGGTAAGCTTACATGGTAGGGTCGAGGTAAGCTTACATGGTAGGGTCGAGGTAAGCTTACACGGTAAGGTCGAGGTAAGCTTATGAGTAAAGGCTGTGGTAAGGTTATTATTAAGTTGTAAGGTTGAGGTAAGGTTGTGGTAAGCTTACAAGGTAAGGCAAGTTATATTCAAATAATAATATTAATAATAAATAAATATTCAATAAAAAAATTTTTCTTTTGCCTTATTCTATTTTGGGAACCTATCATTTCGCAGAAAGTTTTGAAAACAAATTTGGGAGGAGTAGGATTCGAACCCGGGACCGAAGTATATACCTAACAACCTAACCAACTGAGCTAAACGGGGAACTGACAATGAGAAAAGTAATCTTGCTTTTAAGGAGTTGATTATCTTCTTGGTTCCACTTTAAAAGTAAGATTACTTTTCTCATTGTCAGTTCCCCGTTTAGCTCAGTTGGTTAGGTTGTTAGGTATATACTTCGGTCCCGGGTTCGAATCCTACTCCTCCCAAATTTGTTTTCAAAACTTTCTGCGAAATGATAGGTTCCCAAAATAGAATAAGGCAAAAGAAAAATTTTTTTATTGAATATTTATTTATTATTAATATTATTATTTGAATATAACTTGCCTTACCTTGTAAGCTTACCACAACCTTACCTCAACCTTACAACTTAATAATAACCTTACCACAGCCTTTACTCATAAGCTTACCTCGACCTTACCGTGTAAGCTTACCTCGACCCTACCATGTAAGCTTACCTCGACCCTACCATGTAAGCTTACCTCGACCCTACCATGTAAGCTTACCTCGACCTTACCGTGTAAGCTTACCTCGACCTTACCGTGTAAGCTTACCTCGACCCTACCATGTAAGCTTACCTCGACCCTACCATGTAAGCTTACTGTAAGGCGGACATTTTAGGTTTACTGTAAGTCTACTATGGGCTTACGATGTTACCTTACAAACCTTACATGTAAGCCTGCTGTAGGCCTGGTGTAAGATGTTGTGCTGTGTGGGCAGTTTCAGTAATTCGCAAGTCGATTCGTTACTCTCACACTGTATATATTACGATCAGCAAATCATCTTCTATAGCGTGTAATGATCTGACTTTTATTGCCAAAGGATTTGCTCGCCGGATAGAGTCCGGGTACCTATTTTGACTAGTTATTTTAAATCTCGCTAGATGGCGTGAAGCGCCATCTATGTTTCGATTAATTTCGTAACTATTTCTTACTATGATGTAGAGGAGAGGCGTAGTCATTGACGAGTCTTTATTTAAACCTTCGAAAGAGAATATATTGTTTAAATAAAAGAATAATAAAATATACAAAAATGAATTATTACATAAAATAATATAAGAACGAAAGAATCTATACAATGCAAATAAAATACTTATCTCTAGAAAACATAACGATGAAAGAACTAGCTATTCTAGAGGAGCATTCGCTGAGCTCCGAACGCGTTGCTCATTAATTCAGAATAAAGCGGATTTAAACATATCTACCACGTTCGCGAAGATGTTGATTAGGACGACGCATATTACTTTCGCGTGGGGTACTTTCTAGAATTTATCCCCTAGAATACGGTACGGACGGATACTAGGGTCGTGCACGCTAGGTCGATTATTATTCGTAATCGGGAAGAAGCTAGATATTGGATTCGGTTCCAGTATTCATGCCCGACGCAAAGCTAGTGCAAAGTAATATTCACTAGGTGTCTCCTCCACCCGAGAAGCGCCTCGAGATGGGGAATCGACCAAGTGCATCATCTTTGTCAAGAGAGGAGCGACTCTACTTGTCAAGGACGGTCCTTGGAAGTGAGTGAGTAACCTGGTTCACCAGTCTTCCACGGAAGCGCCCATAGAAAGTCCGATTTACCAGGAGGAAGGAAGGCGAAGGGTGTTACTGTTCCGCAGGAGCGCCTACAGGAACAAGTACAGCTCCTTCTAGGAAGTGAGGAAGGCTCTGGTGTTCAGAGAGACGCACCTCTACTGAGCACCAACTAGCCAGGGGTGAGTCGTTTCCAATCGTCAGAGAAGCACCTCTAGACGAGTCGGAAGAAGACTGAGGAAAAAGGTGCGAGACGAAAGGTATATCACTAGCAGCTAGGTGACTCCTAGTGGTGGGGGAAGAGAGAGACACTACTAATTACGCTGTCTACTTTCTCTCTTTTCGCCACGCCACTATACTACGATACTCTATCGTTACAAGCGATAAATCGCACTTCAATTCGAAACGGTCGCTTTCTGTGAAGTTTAGATAAAACTTGTAGAGACCACCGATAAAAGGCTGACACTTTTCAATCCCTAGTGCCTCTGCAGGACAGTAGCCAAGTTGTTATAACACTACTCACACGTCGACATTATTCACAGAGATTCGATTCTACGTTTTCGATCTCCTTTCAAACATTTCGCTCTTAGCGATGTGGGCTTTCAACCACTGCCTTCACGAGTCTAACACAACCGAAATGGAACAAAAATAAGTACTTGCCAGAGCAAGCCTTAGCGATCATTCTATCTGCATGGAATCATTAGACTCAGAATCGAGTGCCTGTATGATGATTCTATCCAATCAACAATCCAGACTAACTTCCCTCTTTGGTCGCCTTTTACGACGCGTGATGGGGTACGTCTACACTATTCTTTTCGGATGGTATCAAGCACGGTCAACTGAAAAAGGAATCGATCTCTCTTTCCTCAGACTCCTTGGCTCTGATATCTACTGCTATCTATTGTTCAAAATGATCTTCATGAGTACTTTCATTTGGCTGTTAAGTACAGCGATGCGCTAGCCTTAAAAGATAGGGGCCGAAATCTAATTGGTCACCCGGGTCCATGGAGGACTATAATCTCGATGTTCATGGCCTATCTTTTCAGCTGATTTCACCATAAGGAACTACAGGAATGGAAAAAACCTCTTACGATACAGAATTCCTTGTGATGACTTCTTTTTTTCCTACAAGATAGACGATGTCTAGAGTGCAAGAAGAGAGTGCCTGATGAAATGGAGAAGCAGTTAGTTACAGTCGTATTAGCCCCGATAACACCCCAACGGGAGTGGACGTGAGTTAGCGGTGATAAGCCTCGTGTACTTCCAACGGGGACCACCCGGAGGTTTTGCTTCCAGACCGAAGTCGCACCCTGCTTCCAGAAGAGTATTGTGTTCACAATTTCCTCTTTAGTCGCCTCTTACGACACACGATATGAGTATACGAGAAGACAAATTCTCGACTCATCACTTTTAGGGCACCACTATTAGAGTCATTAGTAAGGATACCTAGTGGAAAACCTGCCTTAGACGACCTAGGAAAAGTGAAAGTTGGATATGTGGCGTCTGGAAATTTATTTCCACATTTTGGACAATATAAACTTTATAATTATATTTTATATATTACACTAATCTAAAAATGCACAAACATGTATACAAATACACACACACAAATAATATATATTAATACAACATTTTCATTAATACTTGTAATTTTATGTATTTGCAATATGGTTGTGTTCAGAATATTTAATGTATATTTTCAATATTTAAATTTTTGTATTTCTTAAAGTGAGCTCTCTTGCTGGCCTGGCGATCATGCCATCCTTTCCTAGGTACCTACGGCCGCCCATATCATAAAATCGGTCCGTTCGAGTAGCCCGGCAATGTACTCTGTACACTCCTTACCCTCTCTTTTTACACCTTTTTCCATCCTTGTTCAACTACAATAATTTTCCTTAATTTTATCGTTTTTCTCTTTTCCCAAGCGACGCTTTGAAAACCCTGTCGCCATTTTTTCATTCAGTCTTTACCTAATTCTCGTCCTGAGCACAACCTCGCTCCGAGAGGAAATTAAATTTTATAATAAATATTTCTATTCTTGTTTTTAAATAAATAATTTTTGTGTTTTATTTTCGAAAGATACCCGGTCGACTAAAGATATAAACGCACGGCAACATCTGCACTTGTGAGAGAGATTGATGAATATTGATTAACGTTAGAAATATCTGAAACCCCACAGTACAACCCACTGCTCTATCTACTTAATCCTCTCCCCTTCTTATGTCACCAAGGGGAGTGCAATAAGTAGATGGAACAGAGGGTTGACGACGCTTGCAACGATAGCACGATTTCGCCTACATATGGAACCGCTGTAATTATGGTTTAAATGGTCAGTGCACGTTCCAGTAGTATATTTCAGTGTCTATTATATGCAGACAATGATCATAAACCGGAAGTTTTTTTTGCAATTAAATGATGCACTTGATAATAATTATCTAAATTATAATTATTTAATATTAATTTTTGTATTTTCATCGAATTCAAAACAATTTTTGTCAGTAGCAAAAGGTATCGTGTAAAATCTTTAGAAAACAAAAACTTTGACAACTTAGGAATAACCATTCAGTGAAAGATCAAACAGCATAAAGTTTTGTTTTACATTTCGTTTAAGGTAGGTCAATTGTATAATCGGATTATTGGAAAAGATTCAAGTGACTTCGAATACCCTATAAATAATCTCTTTTTTCTTAGGACTCAACATAAAAATTATATAACAATGTAAAGAAAGAATGTTCTATAAATAACTATTTATTTTAAAAATATTTCAAATCTATTTCTAAAAAATTATCAAAATAAAAAGTTTAACCCTCATAGCAACCGTATATTCAGAATATTTTAGAACGTTTTGGGAATATCACTTGGTTCGGAGAAATTATGATATCCCTAGAATGTGCCATTGACGTTCTAAGGACATTCTAGGGATTTCCCGATATTTCTAGGACGTCCGTAGGATATTCTGAAACAACTGTTGTAGTGAGGGAATGTAATGAAATGAACTAGTTTTTAAATTTTTGCAAAAGAATGTCAGCGTAAAATATACCTTTCCAATGCCAAAATTGTAAAGTGGTAGTCTTTTATATTCGGAGACGTATGTATATCTCTTCATTGGTAAATATTGTGAAGATCGACTATTAGCAGCATAATCTAAATTGGCATTATTTTCTCTATCAGAATATGTACTTGCTTCCAATGCTGAAGAAAAGATACTTAAAGTGCTCAGCAAAGAAAAGATGAATAATGTTATCTTCATTATTGTGTTTATACTTTCTTGATTTTTCAACAGTTGATAGAAATTTCTGAAACAAAAGTTTTAAAAAAATATATTTATAAATATATATTTTCAACTATAGAATGAAATATTTAAATAAAATTAATACATATATATTGAAGTTATTTTTAATTTATTAAACTATAAATTGTAATTGCTGAGTACTATAGTAATATCACTTCCAAAGGAAAGGGTAAACTTTATCGCGTAAACAGAGATTGAAATATTTTAACCATGATAAGCCTTAAGGCATTTTCAGAAAGTTTGTTAATTGTTATGTAATGAGTTTCTCTTCCACACTGCACTATTTAAATACATTTTTATTTCTGTTATTAATAATTATTTGCACAATGTTATTATAACTATTGATGAAAATAATTATATTATTGATAAATTAAATGATTAAAGAAATTTAAAATTAATATAATTTCCTTATATATATGTTAATTTCTTCGCAGTTTGAAGAAACAAATAATACTTTTTGTAAATTTTAAACAAATTCTAAATCTTTATATGAAAAATGACTATTTTCTGACATTTCTTTAAAAAAAAACGTAAATATACTAAATTGCGATCAATATAGAGGAACTTTTGCCTCAGGCTTGAAAGTCACTAAGGAGATATAAGGCAAGAATATTTCCTTCATATTTAGTTTATAGATACAATACAGATGATTTCTTTATTTTTACGCTTAAACATTTTTACAAATTGTATCAATACAATTTTCGAATTCAGAAATTGGTCTTAGGAATCTTAGGAATTAAATTATTTACCAAACATTTGAAGCTAATTAATTATTGTCAAAAATTAATAGTATCAGTCAAGTTATAAATTTTCTGGATTTACATTTAAATAATTATGATTTCTGTAACAAAAGTGAATTACCAACCACTCGGCTACCTCTTTGCAATTACTTTCCCTTGTATTAAACTTAAAACAAACAATTAACTTAATTAAGAAGCAAATAATAAATTACTAACGGTTGTCATAACATTATTATTTTCCTCACTGTAATCCTCTATGTTCATTAAATGATATTGTAACTCCCAGATCTCTCATCTGAGTCACTTTCCCTAGTTGAGTGGTTCTTATTGAAATCGTAGATAATAATTTTTATAAAATATTTGTTTTATTATAAATTATAAAAAAATTTTTTTTAAAGAATGAATATAAATCAAAAATTATGATTAGCTGATTGTAACAGAGAACGTTAGCAGAGAGAAATTTTATCAAATTAAATAAAAAATTGTATTTGTAATTTAAATTTAATTCTGATATATATTTTAATATTTGAAAAATATTTTTTAAATAAAAATGAAATAATTATTTTTTATAAAATTGAAAATAAAGAAATATAAAGATGGTTCATAATTTATGAAATACGAAATGACTGTAATGGATATAAATCGGTTATTAAAATTAAAATAGAGATCCCATTAGGAGTGGTAATAAGCATTTTCGACGAAGGAGATTTGAGCTGTCGTAATAGCTCTAAGCCACAGATTTTATCACACTCCACTGACACTGGAGAGTCAGGACAAGATAGCAATAACTGCGCTACGAGCAGAAGTGAGAAGATATAAGGAGGAGGATGAGGAAAAGACGAATAAATAGCTTTCAGGAAGTGGGTGGAAAAAGATGGAAAAGCAGTTCTATTACAGAATAAAATTTCTGAACAGGTGCTTCTCAAGTCAATAATACCATCAACGCCCACCTTCTTATCACACTGTACTTTAAATATAAAAAAAATTTCTTATATTCCTAAGCTTAAAGGTTTTTATAACTTATTCAATCAATTTATATATATATATATATTTATAGAAAAATCTGTCAAAAAATTAATTACATTCGTGACGTAGTTAAATTTAATTAATTTCACAAATCACAATTTCTTTTGAATTATAAAATTATTGACTTAAATTATTTTCAATTTGAATAATGAAATTAATATTATGTTTAAATTAAACATAATATTGCTATTAAATAATTTTATCTGGAGGATGTTAAGGACGGAATTCCGCAAAATTTTTATTTTTTTTTTAGATTATTATTTATTGTAAATAATAATTGTTACTAGTCGGTATAAACATTTTTATCAATTATAAACAAACATCAAATGCAACACCCGCACACATACATAAATTATCTAATTTTAAATATTTAATTATTGATTCAAATTAATTGTTATTTCGTCAATGATTTGGGATTAGTGAAATTCATATTGCGAAATAACACAAACTGAAGTATCATCAACTTTGCCAAATGTGGGACTTCTAATGAATAAAAGTTGCCACATTATTAGTTTGGAAAATTAAGAAATATAAAGAAATCATAAAGGTAATTCAGGTGGTTGAACCGATATACAGTTTTGTTCCCACTAAAAGTGGTTGAAATTATTATTTGTTCCCCGCATTAAGGGTTGAGTTTAATATCTGAATTAATATAAGTGAATATTTCACAATTGTGAAGTTGTTTGATATAACAAGTTTGTTGAAAAAGAAAATAAATAATAAATAAATAAATATTTTGTGAGACTTAACTTTGGTCAAATAGCTTAATTTAATCTCTGTCGTTTGATTGTAAAACAATGTTTTGAATATTCTCATTTTTTGAACATTGATTTGTAGTAATTTATTAAATTATTTTTATGATAAAGATTTATCTTGGGCAAATTATTGTATAACTTTTTGTGGTCTAAATATTGCTATTTTCTTTTTAAATTATTAATTTTTGTTAAATTAACTTCCGTTTGGTATTTGAGAAGCAAACAATAAATAAAGATCGTTTCCATAGCAACGAAAAACACGAGGTTGAAAATTTTGTTAATTCTTCATTTCTTTATCAACAACCTTCAGCTAAAGAGTTTTCAAGTTTTGTTTCTTTTTTTTTTGTGTCGTGACAATTGTCAGTAGATGAATAATAATTAATTCCAATTTTGGTAAGAAGATTTATTTAATGAAAAAATCAGTGATTTCTCTGTTTATAATTTGTTAAATTTTGTTAATATGACTTTTAAGTCAATCTTTGATTTGAATTTCTATTTTATTTGATTTCCTTTACTGAAATTTTTCTTTTATTATTTAATTCTTTTGAAAATTTTAATTTTTTTTAATTTTTTTAATTATTTCTTTTATGATTATTCCTAATTGTGTTTTTGAATTTTTCAAAATTTAATAATAATTATATTTTGTGTATTTTCTTGAATATTTTTGAATTTTCCTAAATATTTTTTAGACCCTAAACAAAAATTATAATTAAATTCTCTTTCATTGTGTTTCGACTATTTGTTATTTTAATGAATTTTATTCCGTGACAAATAAATGCTTAAATTGAGGAGCAATTTTTCAAAACCTATCCATTTTTCAGAAAAATTGAGATAAACGCAGATTTAGGATATTAAGGACATTACGAATCGATTTGTCAAAATTGAATTTAAAAAAAAAAAAAAATGTTTATTATCAAAGAATTTTCAATTTTAAAAATATTTGAAAATCTCCCCTTTCTACCGTTTAGTTATTGAGTAAGCCGAGTATGTATAATGTATAAATGTCAATTACATTTCGTTTTTGATATTCTTTATTTATAAATAAGATTTTACATTTCTCAGATGATTTTCAAACTTTCATTTTTTTAATTCACAATATTTCTTCATTACTTGGGAAAAAATTTATTCTCACTTTTCTGAACACAATATATATATATATTAAGCAAAAGTTGAAATGGAAGAGCTTAAATGTTCTCTTTTCTTTTTATCCATTTACACTTCCAATTAAGGACTTAAATTAGTTTTCAAGATTATTTGTTACTTTATTATATAACATGTAGATAGCTGGGATTCAATTATTTTTTTTTTTTTTTTGAAAATTGCCTTTTACCGGTTGTACGAATAGTATTTATTTCAGTTTCATTGAAATTTATAGAAACGAAATATTTTTCCTGCTTTTTTATAAAGGGGAGAAAAAAAAATGCACACGCAATATAGTGAATGAAAAACGGAATAGAGGTTCATCATTTTTTCAAATAGTATAGCAATTCGAACACGCTCCCCTGTGTTTAAAATTGAATTTATATCTTGAGGGTTAGCTGAACCCTGATGCTTATAGATTTTAAATTTTTTATTCCAACTCTCTCTCTCTTTTTTTTTTTACTGTGAATTAAAAATTTCTAGTTTGGAAATGGAAAAATAAAATTTGCATTTATTTGATTTTAAATTAAAAAAGGAAGAAGATGGAGAAAAATAAAATGGAAGAAAAAAAACTAGTACCATTGACTTGTTATATGAGGGGAGAAAGAGATTAAAATATAAAATAGAAATTTAGGAAGAGGAAAAGTGTGATAACTTATGATATAAGATGAAACTCGAAAAACCTTTCATAATTTTCACGAGACAGTAGAGTCTCAACGGGGGGGTTGTTTGCTCAAGATTACATCCTCCACAAGTAGAAGGGTCACGCTTCTGGGATTTCTCTCTCCGGAAATCCTGGGTAATTTCTTGTCAAGTTTTAGCGTCTCATCTCCGGAATCTCAAAATATTGTATTAAGTTTTGCAGGCATTTCCGATTTCATCACATCTGTCGCTTAAACATATTGCTTTAACATATTTCAATCGTGCCAAGTCTCATCTCTTACTTTTTTTTTAGTCTGGATCATTTTTCATTTTCCATCGTTATTACTTATTGACATTTCTTATTAATTATATATCCCAAGGAAAAATACTCTTGACTAATAGGAATTCGAATATTTTTTTTAAGAAAAGATTTCTCAGGAAATTATAAAAAATTATTTTTCAATTTTTGCATTTAACATAAATCATTTAGCAATATTTTTATATTATATTTTTAATAAAATAATAATTATTTGCTAAAAAAAATTTTCAATTTCCGAGAGATCAATTGTTTTGGTCTTATGAATAAAGAACTTTTTTTATTTGAAAATATGTGAATTCATTTTTTTTTTCTTTTTTTTTTGACCTTATTAGATCTAGAACGATGCGAGAGAATCTCAACAAGAGCGAGAGGTACTTCTAGGAACAATATGAACTTGTACAGCTTTCATCTCAGAGGTCATAACAATTTTTCACCCTTGGGTTATTAGTAGTCACTGGTACAAAAAAGATCTCAGTAAAACTTTATAGCACGACATCAGAACAATTGTAATAAGTGGAAGAAATGCAAAGAGTATTTGAAAGGGTAAGAGTTGCTTTCTTCTCTCCTTTTTTTTTGTATCCACTCTGCGGAACTGATTTCTATGATACCTCACAAGTTCATGAAACCTACTGACCCTCGAGTATATATATATATATCTATTAATAGATATATTTCGAACAATGTTTTTCTCTTATTAAATATCACGTGATTTCATTTTATGAAGTTCTATTATCATTTAGAAAAATTTTCTGCTTTTTCGCACAATTGGGAAATCATTTACAAAAATTTATTTATTTATTTATCCAAAGTTTTCAAATATTTGGCTAAATTTTGGCAAATGCAACTTAGATGACTTTAAATATTTGGTCGGTCAAACTATGGGTCAACGTTGGATCGACAGTTGGCAAAATTTCAAGGAAACAGATTAGAAGATTTAATTACTTTGATTGAGCTAACTTTGGTTTAAGGTTGGTCTAATCGTTGGCAAAATTTCGGGAAACGAAATAACGGACTGCATATAACTTGGGTTTCTCTTCAACCAATTTTGATGATCTTGGTAATTAAATCCTGCATGGTTCATCCACCAATTCCATAAAACTGATCCAAATTTCATTGTAAATGCAAAACCTAAATGTTTCCTTTCTTTATGCTTTGTCTATTACGCGCTGAAGATTATTCATTTCGGATGGTTTAGCCAAAAAAAAAAAATAACATTTCCGGAAGCATTTAATTAAGGAGCTGTTCATTGGCGATTTATTTTGAGAACACTTTGAATTACTAAACATTAAATATTCCTTTATTCCTTCAACTCTGAAAGGCTGACCCTAATTTAAACCTTAATTTTAACTGATTCCAAAGTAAATGCAATCCCACGCATTTAATTTAAAACTGGAATAATATTGTACCGTCTATCAAAGTGAAATATTTAGATGTAAATCAATAAATAATTGTTATTTCATTTATTATACATTACGAATGAAGGTGTTAAGAAAGCAATTTGGTATCGAATTTCTCTCACAATGCTTCTCATTTTCTCAGGAATTTATTTTCAGAACTTTATAATAAAAGGGCAACAATAGCCATCAGAAGAAAGTGATGCTAAATAATATTATTTTCTTCATCGATTAGTTTAATCCTTTAAACGAAATTTGAATTTTCGAATTCAAACATTTGCATAATTGTTAGAAGCCTCGTGGTTTTGAATATAAATATATGTATTAAATAATAATAATAATCGAAAACAATAGAAGATATCATCTTATAAACACAGAAAAAAAGGTGGGTAAAAAGTTGTAAAGATAGAGGATAAAAGTCGTTATAGGATACAGGGTAAAGGATAAATTTGTGATGGATAAAAATGTTACTAAAATATTACTAGAAAAATGGATGTCATATTTGAGTAAACTGTCTAATTTTAATAAAAATATTAGTAATTTTACACCTAACTTATTAAATCCACAAATTTTATATAAATAAGTAATTGCATGTGGAAATATTTTGCCTAAAATTATTGTCTATTAATAAAAATATCTTTGACTAATACAACTGACAGCTGACGACAGTGCGTAAATAATCAGAACTGGGAAATTACAACTCAACGTCTGTATTGTTGCACGAAAGCAGAGTTGGGTAGTAACTGAATTTTTTGTGCATATTAGGCTGTGTCAGTTCATCGAGATATTTCGAGTTCAAGATATGACGTCAGAGGCCTGGAGTGACAACAAACAGACGACACAATGTTATTCTTACGGGGAAGAAAATTTGTTTCCACTTTCATCAATTTTATTCATACTTTAAACACGGAAAACGCTTGTTGACATATAATAAAATTAAAATGTGTGCTGATAATTAATTTTGCTATATATTTGATTCAATTGCATTTATAGATTCTCTGAATTCGTGATAAAATATAAATTTTGAGGTTAGAGGTATTTGTTTACTAACTTGAAATCTTTTACTGCTGCGGTAATTCCCACTTAAAATATATATTTTATATCTTTTTTAATAACATGCATACTGGATATTGTTTAATAAATTTTAATGTAAAATGTGATTAGCAAACAAACTTTTCGAACCTCAATATTTATATTTTATCACGAATTCAGAAAATCTATCAATGCAAATGAATAAAATATATAACAAAATTAATTATCAACCCACATTTTAATTTTATTAGATGTCAACAAGCGTTTTCCGTGTTTAAAGTATGAATAAAATTGATGAAAGTGGAAACAAATTTTCTTCCCCGTAAGAATAACATTGTGTCGTCTGTTTGTTGTCACTCCAGGCCTCTGACGTCATATCTTGAACTCGAAATATCTCGATGAACTGACACAGCCTAATATGCACAAAAAATTCAGTTACTACCCAACTCTGCTTTCGTGCAACAATACAGACGTTGAGTTGTAATTTCCCAGTTCTGATTATTTACGCACTGTCGTCAGCTGTCAGTTGTATTAGCTTTTAAGGAGCTTCTACAACAACTTGCAATCTGTATTGCTTTGCAACTTGCTTTGCATTTTGCTCAGCATTTTGCTTTATGCGCGCGCAACGACTCGAAAATTTCACGTTCCATTCACATTCCGGTCATTCCTCAAATTCAATAACATTCACTGTTTGCAATCAGAACTAATCTCTGCTGCAATGTTATAAATTAATTATTAATTAACAATTGATTAATTTATAAACAATTGTAATTAATGAATTTGAGTCACCGCAGTAATTAGGATTGATTATTAATTTGCGACGTCTTCCTATTGTATGTCGAGGTAAGATTAACACTGATATAAAAATATAGTGTATACTTTGGAAAGTTATAACATATAAGTTAACAGTGCTGTTTCTTTTATTGTAAAATTTTTTATGAGGGTTAATTGTCAGGCGATAAGTACGTACGTGTATGTACGTGTATATCCATCCGTATACAGTATATTATTGTAAACAATTATCGCACAATGTGTTATATTGTTTATTTGACAGAAAACAGCAAAGTGTCCGGTTACCGGTAAGTTGACCGATTTATAATTTAATTTATATTAAATAAATTCCATTCCAATTGATATATATATATATATATATAACAAAAATTTTGTTCATTAAAAGTTAAATTTATGTAGTATTTTTTTTAATTTAATACATGGTTATATAATATGTATATTTGCTTTATGAAAACAGTTAAATAGCCTAAATTTTTTATAGGTTAGGAATTTATTAAAATAAGGCGGAAAAATGTTGCTTCCTCTTTACACCGCTTTATTATATCTGCAATGGCTAAAATTGATTGTTTATTGCCTCGAATTTATTTATCATCAAAATCGGTCAAATAGACGCTGGCATGTGAGACCTCAAATAAGTGTTGCACTCCGAGACCATTATGGTGCATACGAGTGTCTATTTTTATATTATGCCAATTGCGATCACGAGAAATTTAAGGAAATGTCTCGTTTATCAGTAAAAGCCTTCAAAATACTCCACGACATTATTGGACCGAGTCTCGTAAAAAGAAGTCGCAGAATCCCATTGTCGTCGGAGTTAAGATTAGCAATTACGTTGAAGTAAGTTAAGTCTTTAATATAATAATATTAAATTTGTCCCATTTTTGTTGGCATTAATATTTAATTCATTTTAAATTCCGATATAATTGAGAATTTGTTTTATATAATTATTTTTTAAAAATTATTATGTTGAATGGTCCTTTTGAAAAACTTATTTAAAAAATTCTAAGGTAAATAATCAAAGCGCGAAAAAGTAAATTAATTAAAAGCAATTAATCATCTTATTAGTAATTACTTATCTGTTCAACCTCGAAAGCTGATAGATATATTCATTTTTTTTTAACGAGACTATAACTTTTGCATAGAAACGAATAAAGAAATGGTCTTTTGGAAGTATAAGATTATAACAGAAATATTTTTTTCTATTGATGAATACTTTTTACTTTCTATACGATAAATTTCATTTTAAAAAGGGATATTTAAAAACTCAATTTTAAAAAAAAGTAATGACTTAAATTTAAGTGACAATGTTTTATAAAATTAAAGTAAAAAAGACATTTTTTAACTTGGAAAATATTTTTTAATTGACTAAATAAGTATTCAACCAATAGATTTGCTTTAATTTAATTTTTAAAGAACTGAATTTTTGGTCAATATCAGGTTTACATTATAGATCCAATTTTCATGAAGATTGTATATTTGGCATAATTTAAAAAAAGAATTTCCGGACATGTGCCAATGATTTTTTTGGCTAAAATACCTTTCAAAAATTATAACTTACATTATAACCCATAAGCAATCAAACAAAAATTGGACTGATTTTTATTCGATTTTTATCCAGCAACCTAACGTCAATTTTGATGAAGATTGAATTTATTGATTAATTTTTTTCAAAAAAATTTCTGGACATGTCAAAACGAATTTCTTGGCTTATATACGTTCCAAAAATGATGACCGACAGTTAACCCATGTAATCCTATCAAAATTGAATTGATTTTTAATTTATTTAACGATGGAAACCCAATGTTTACGCGCGCTGAAGCGCGCGTATAAGTTGCTAGTGTATTTTTTAAACGTAATAATATATTTTTTAACATAATGTGTTTTTTTTGTAGAACGACTACTAATCACCCTTTCCAAAAAGAAAATGTAGAGTCATCTGATGAAGATGTGGAAATGACTGACAACAGTGGAGGTAAAGTTTATAAATATTTATAAATATTTATTTTAAAAGAACTAAAAACGAATATAAATTATAATCTTTATTTTTTTTTAACTTAATTTGTTATAATTTATGCCATTATTTTAATCAACTAAATAATTATGGCCACGAAACTGTATGATTAACAAATTTCTATTTACTTTGAATAAATACTTTCAGACAATATATTTAGACACTTTCCGGCCCGGGATAATGCAAGGAACGATATCCTTTTACAGCGCCAGGAGGAGGTTCTGTGGGACGCATGGGTGAAGATTCCCGAAAAAAAAGGAAACTCTGCTATTTTGAATTAAGAGATTTGTTCCAAAATAAAAAATAACATTTAAAGTTCTTTGCAGTTCTTAAATTTAAATAATAAATAAATAACAACATTACACAAATTTAAAAGTTTCTTTATTTATTCCCCCACGCACTATATTCATTATTTATTTCAGAGTATATAAAGTATTAACCACAAAAGATCTTAGTTTTACATTTGTATATCATTTTTTTCATTTTTTTTTAATTCTGATCAACTTTATACATCAATATAAATAAATGTATATAATAAATAATATTAATAAATGAAATATAACACATAGTGACATATTTACAACTAATTACCTTAAAATGACGCATAAAAGGAAAAATAATAAAACTTATGTCATTAAATCACAAACACTTTTATTCATTTCACGCACATTAATTAATTAATCAAACTATTTTTTTATCACTGCTCATCTCATCAAAAAACACAAATGTTTATTTTTTTTTTTTTAAACATCAAATGATAATATGTATAAATTTCAGGAATGAGCGGTACGTGAAATTTTCGAGTCGTTGCGCGCGCATAAAGCAAAATGCTGAGCAAAATGCAAAGCAAGTTGCAAAGCAATACAGATTGCAAGTTGTTGTAGAAGCTCCTTTAATGAACGTTTAGATTCTCCAGTGTAATTCGCTGGACAGTTTTTACAATTAAATTTATAAACAATGTTTATAAACAATTTAATTGTAAAAACTGTCCAGCGAATTACATTGGAAAATCTAAACGTTCATTAAAAACACGTATTAATGAGCATAAAAAACTAAAAATAAAACATCGGCTCAATCAGTAGTACCATTACATCGATCAGAATTGAATCACGAGTTTGACTGGGATAATGTTCTTATACTAGACCGTGAACAAAATTATAAAAAACGATGTTTTTCAGAAATGTTACACATAAAAATTAATAATTCCACTATTAACAAAAAAGAAGACATAATGTATCTAAACAAATTATACTTCCCTTTAATTTCCAAATTAGACTCGTGATTCTATTTTTCTGAAAATATTTCACTTCCACGTGCTGTTTACATCTAAGTTTATTGACTCCTCTATTTCATTTAGATTTTAAATTTTGTATTTTCAATTTTAGTCTTGACGATACTGGTCTAAAAACCTGACGTGTCAGCATAGTCTGTGCAATATAAAATTTTCTAACGCTAAGATGTAACGGTTCAATTAATTTTTTGGTAATTGTTATTACTTTATTATTAAAAAAAAGATAATGTGGTGTTATAAATAAAATTATAAATATTTTCATTAGATTTAATCTGAAGATGATGACGAAACAAGTCATCGAAACGTAGTTTGTTGTTTTGTGACAATAAACAATATTAATAACATACAATTTTTATGTTATTTTATTCCTTCCAAGGATCGAATTTTTCTCAACTTTTTATTAAACATTCCGGAAGGGAAAATCCTTACTCTACAAATTTTTATTTCAATGAAAAAAAATTAAAAATGTGTCGACTAACAAAAAAAAACGTGATATATAAATTGCAATTTAATAATAATTGTAAATAAACGAATTAACGAACGATGAATATTAATTTGCTTATAATTAATTGAATATAAAAATTTTAAACAAAGATCTTTCGCCACATTGAATCCGTCTTTTTGAATTTTGAAAATCTGACTTTAGATTCGTAATCAGCAAGGTTAAAAACTCCTAGATATAGATTTTTAAAAAAATGAAAATCCTGTCTAATTTAAGATTTTATGTTAGTAATGAATAAGCATACCAAACTTTAATAAACTTCATGAAATATAATATTACGTTAAAATTAAAACGCAACTCTTTATGTTTTATATGACATATATATATCAGTATATATAACAGAATTGCGTAGGATGAAAATCTCCCACGTTGAAAAATTATCGAGAATTTTTTTTCGCCATGGGAGATTTAAAAATAATAGAATTTTATTTGCAATTGTCTAATAATTTCACTAAAAAACAATTAAGTTTTATATTTCTTAAATTTAGAAAAGAAAATTATTTTTAAATACTTATTTTGAGTAAAAAAAAAACATTTAACATTGAAAATTAAATTCGTTAATCAAACCGTTTAAGAAAATTCTTACCCTATTTTATTATTTTAGTTTATTTATTATTATATTTTAGTTATTAATAGAAAAATTCTTTTTATTAAATAAAAAAAAATGAAAAAAAAATAAATTTCTTATAGAATGTCAAAAAATATTTTTCATGATGTATCATCCCTTTTTTCTTATATAGATGTATATCCATTTCTATGGAATCCTAAAATCTGTGTAAAGAACTTGGAAAGCTCGCGTATATTCACAAATCCAACTCCCCTTCCTTATCTCTTTGTTAGAAAGGATTTTACAAACCGGAAGTGACGAAAGAAGTTCTTTGTGAAATGAAATGATCACGTTTCTTTCAAATCCCTTGACTTAAGTAAAATGTTATTTATTCAGAAAAAGTCTACAGCGTAACGGCAACGAAAGTTATTTCAAATATCGAAACTCGGATTATATATATATATATAGGGGGGGGGGGGAAATAGTCAGTCTGCGCAAAAACTTAATAATATGTGCTTTTTCCCAACAATGAAAGATTTCAGAAAAAAAGCCTAATAAATTCTTAAGAATTGTTAAGCAAATTTTTCTTTTTAAAAATTACACTCAGAAAAAAAAATTTATTTTCAAACAACCGCAAATTTTGATTGAATCAAATAAATGAGCACAGTATAGGGCAACCCTGGCGAATCTAAATTGATTTTCATTTGAATTTAATTAATTTATTATTATTGATTTTGAAACTATTCAAAGATAAATTTTATTTTTTAAATTTAATTTCTAATTTTTGAAATTAATTGAAATATCATTAATTTGATTTATATTATAATTATTGTATCCATTTTCAATTTCCTTTTCCATTCCTCGAATTAAAGAATCCTTATTGGTGGCTAACTAAATATTAACTTTAATTAATAATTAACATTTAAGTGAAAATGGTTTTAGTATGCGCGTATTCTGGGAAAAAAGATGCAAAAAGTGTTCCTTCCCCCACAGCACCGAAACTTTCCTAAAGATTTCCTAAAGATTTATTTGAAATGTTGGGAATATTTAATTGCAATGTTTAGTGAAAATTGTGTAAAAATTTAAATGTTTAGCGGGAAACTTTCCTGAAAATTTTAATAAATCTTTAGAAAATCTTTAGGAAAGTTTCGGTGCTATGGGGGTTTTCACAATTGAGAACACATTTTAATATTATTATTGAAATGTCTAATTTTTAGGTTACGTTTTTTTTTCATTTCATATTGACATAAATAGAAAAAATATATATATACTTATATTTTGTTGTAAGTATCCTTCTTCATATTTACAAATTAGAAAGACTTTATATATTTCTATACATTTCTTTAAATTCGGGAACCTGTAATAAAATATTTATTAAAGTAATAAATTTAAAAACTTTTAAACATTATGTACTTTATAATTTATATTATTTATTATAATTATTAATTAATTAGAAAAATTAAATTAATACATTTAATTATTTGATTAAAATTAATTATGTAACTAATTACTCTCTTAATTTAATATATAATAACTATATGTTTTTATAATATCAATAATAATATTAATTACGTTAAAATACTTTAAAATTAAAATTTTTAACAATTATTTAATTTGTTATTCAATATATTTCATTCCCATTATATTTAATAAAATTAAAATTATATTAACACAATCGCTTATCCAGTTTATATATAGAGATCAGTGGAATCAACCAAAAGTTTATTTGGGCTCCATCAAATTATTTCTTCGTTCGAAAAATTAATTTATTTTGATTAAAGAAATATTTATTTGAATCAAACAAATTTTGTTTAAATTAACAAAACAAAAAAAAATTGTGTTATTACAAAAAAATGTTATATTTAATTCAAATATGAAACTTTCCTCTGAGTGTATTCATTATTAATTTGTTGCATGACAAGTTTAAAGAAATTTAATTTTTCTTTTTTGGAAAATTTATTAATTTTTATCTATAAAAAATTGTCTTGTATACATAAATAATGTATAAGCTGTATTTAATTTAAAATTATTTATTAAATCAATAATAAGAGTGACAATTTCTTGTAATTAAATTGAAAATATTGATTTACATCATTTTATATCATATCCATAAAAATTTTTACGCTATTCATGTCATAAAATTTAATATGCTTTTACAAAAATAGTTAAATTTTAATTACAAAAATTAAACAATGATAAACAAAAAAAAATAAGAGAAATAAATTTTGTCCTTTATTTTAGTATTGTATATAATATACTATTTTATATACTCTTATATGATTTGAAATTTACGTAAGAGTACAACCTTTTCATCTATATTTTGATTGTCAGATTACATTAACGTCTTATCGATATTCCATTCAAGAAGAAATAACATGTGAGACAATATATTTCATTATCACGAATGACATATTCAGTATGATAAATTAATTATGGCCTTGTTATTTATTAAAATAAAATTTCTGAAGTATATCTACGTAATTATTAAATTTACATAAAAGTACATTTTCCATGAATTTGAATAAAATCTCTTATTCTATATATCTCAGATTTTATATAAAATTGTATTTTTAGAACAAAAGCATCAGGGAGATGATTACATAATATTAATTTGATGAACATAAATGTCATCATTAGCTTTTTATATATTGAATTATAATAATAATAATTTTTATTTCACTATTTATTAAGAATTTAAATAAAAAATTTAATAAGAAGTTTCATATTAATTCTTATTTTCACTGTCAATTACATTAACATTATTTTTTAAATGCCAAATTTTTATATTATTAATTTTAATATTAAAATAATGATTGTGAGAATATAAAAAAATTAATTTTATTGTTCATTAATTTAATATGAGATTAAAAATTTTTTTAACTGTAATTAATAATAAATGTTTGATTATTTATTCGTATAAATTTTATTAGAAAAATTGAATTTGTGACTTAATATATAATTATATTTTCTTAACCAGATAATGAGAAAGGTAAAATATTATAAAATGATTTTACTCGTTGTGTCAATT